ATATGACAAAGATTGTAATTTAACCATGTTTAAAACCATCTTTGGATACAATTATTATTCAAATAAATTATTTCTTACATCATTGTAAAAGTCCTGGGCTAAAGGAAAGTTAATGTAACATTTATCTAGATTTAGACATTATTAGTTAGAATCCTTTTTTAATAAGGCTACTGTTGTGCCGGTACACCGGCACAGTGTCGGATTTTCTTCCCAATACTAGGCAAGGCCCAGAATTAATAATTTTTTTAGACTTATATTCCAACAACGGCCATACGTTCCCTTAAAATAGATTCATTAATAACTCCGCAGCGTAACGGAGTTGTAGCAAAATATTTAACGACAAAAAAAGCCATTCGTAAACAGGCAAACGGTACAATAGCACAGCGGATATATCCCATAATTGCCCCGAAAAGAAAATTTATTCGCCAAACAAAAACTCCCTTAGCTTAGTTACTGCCATAATCCAATAAATCGCTGCATCACGATTAGCATATTATGCCAGTAGTTTGTTACTAAACGGAAGTGACCAATCGCGTGCGCCGCCGGAAGTCCCTCCCCCTCCGCCCGGCCGCTTCCGGTCACGTGACGTCATCTACATGACAGACGCCGCGGGGACGCCGAGCAGAACAGACGTGTATAATGTTATGTATTGTCAATAGACTGACGATTACTGGCAGTTTAGTACGAATATAATATTTTCTAATAAAAATTTAAACAAAAAAAAACTTTTTAACATTTACAAACATACTGTTCGCATGTAATGTACTTATTCAAAGCGTTTCCAAAGTTACAAAAGAAATCTTTATAATAATTACTATATAAATATTTCGTGATATTTTTCTTTTGTTCATGACTTGGTTAACTTTTTTTCAATGGGTTGAACTACTTTATAATGAAAACAACATTAATTAAAGAATTAATTTTCCAAATAGATAACGATGTTACATCTCAAGTGAAGCGATATCCGAAACTCGTCGGTCAACACAAACACGCCATGATTTGCAATATTACTGCTAATCTATCAATTTAACCACGGTTTGTTAGTTGCGTCTCTACTCTGTACGAGTGGGGGGGTGTATCTACGGATGAGTTGGCGCGAAAATTCGCCATGTCATTTGTTGGGATGGTTTTTAAGCGCGGATAATCGGGGCATAAGATCCTCGAGGGAGAGCCGAGAGTTATATAGTTTGATTTTATTATCACGGCTGTTTGTCTTTACTGCTAAATTAAATCGGAAGAATATAATAATTTTGGATTCTATTTATTCTATGAGTTCGTTGGATTATGTTTTAGATGGGTAGATGTTAAGTTAAGTTACCAATTTTCCTGAAATTTTCAACCTTACTCCCTTAGTTGTTGTTAACGAAACATAACTAGATAATTAAGGAGCCTGTTTATCAAACACATGAACTTTATTTTAATGTACATTGTCAGAAATAACATATAAAGTACTGAATTTTATTTTCACGAAAAATCTGTCTGAATAAAACCAAAAATCTCATCAAAAGCTACAATATAGTTATACTTATAACTCTATATACCCCTGTACAGAACTGTCGCGCCGTCCTCAAATCTCACTTATTGCGACTCCACAAAAATATCATCGACGTAACAACGCCACTACTGAACGATCGCTAATGGGGCTCTAAACTTGGCGTTTTATTTTTTTAAGTGCAAAGAGCACCATTTTCCGAGTGCACGCAGATACTAAATATTTTGTTGCTATTTTAGAAGGGTATTTTAACGTACACGTTTTGCGAAGCTCGTGAAAGCGCGCCGAATGTTCACTTTTACTTTTTAACGCTGACTTTTTTCCCTAAAAAAATAAATTAAGGGCTAAAACGGATGAAAATCAAAGCGTACACCCTCGCTTAAATTGCTCTAATTCACGGTTGACATTGCCAAAAAAAAATTCAATTAAATTTTCCTAAAGAAAGAGTTTGAATATTAGGGTATTTGTTGACTATTTCGATCCGAGAAATATTAATGCTTTCTTATATTTATTTATTACGACGCATTTTTTGAGTGTAATTAATTTTAAAACAGTATTTTAGTAAAAGCAATGAAATGTTAAATTACCTTTATATTGCATGATGATATGAATTTATGACAAAAAATGTATTATTTTAAAGAAAAATTAATTAAATAGAAAACAATTTAATGAATTACATTTTTTAACTCGGAATACTTAATACATTTAGATTTAACATTGATTAAAATATTAAATATAATTCCACTAAGTCGTTATACAGATTTTAAAAAGTTATAAAACGACTCAGATACGGCACTTGAAACTCAAACATAAAGATTGTAGGTCCAGTCATCTGTAACGGTGTAGTGTGTCGCGGCCCTTACCTTGTACAGCGTTGAAGCCGTATTTAGCTAATTTTAATTACAGAGGACGAACTTGCAAGAACTGCGGGAGTTACCTAAGTTTTTTATAATTTTTACTCTGTGCTACAATTTTGAGTGGGCACTCGTTTTATTTCAACCAGGTCGCTTTAAGTAGGAGGAAGTTATGCGGTAACCTGAGACATTTGTTTTGTTTGTTTTCTTTACGTATTTTGTGTTTTATAAACTCATTCTTCTGACTGCTACATCGACCTATGTCTTAAGAGGAAACAGGATTTTTTTTATTAATGTATAGTCGCGATTCAACGAGGATTTCTTTTTCATTTCCACATTACGGTGCACGGAGTTTAGTACCGACTCACTGGTTTGCTTTGTAATAACACGTTAAGCACAAACATAAATATACAATAATTACAAACATACACACACATTATCAATTTTCTATTATTCATTTTGTATTACAAATATCTTAACGATAAACAAAATACTTCACACTTTCAAAAGTAATCTACAAACGAGTCGTGAAATCGCATATTATTTCCACAAAATTTAACACGTATACCTGTAACAAAAAAAATTGAAAAAAAGAAAAATGCTGCTCCAATGGAAATCCCATCCCGCGTCCGACCTTTTCTGGGTCGATTCTATATGCACAATACGCGGCATATTCGAAGGAAGCCGGTCATTACGGCCCTCAATAGCCGTCGGTGGAAATGGACTTATTGTGGACGCACACGCTGAATCCTCTATGAAATTACATCGAACCCAATTTTGATACTTTCTTATTCAAGTTTAAGAAATGAGATATGGATGTAAAGTCCCCTTTTGACAGGTTACAATATGAATATCATTTAGGGTTGTTTTGTTAGTAACCACTATAACTCGTAAGTGTTTTGAAACTTTTCTGCTGACCATAACAACATTAACAATTCAGTAAAGATAAATTAAAAAAGAAATTAAAAAAATACGCTTTAACAGTCACCCAATTTAATCTACTAAATGTGAATAATTAATCTAGGTACTTCATATTACACCGTCATTAAATTAATTTAAATAGCCACTCTGCGAACAGAGAATCATGATCGTTTTATTATATGTCCCCATCCTCCTGTCATACTGTCACCTAAATTATTTATAAAAAAAAATAAACTCAATATTCGTTCGAGTTAAATTATTAAACTCTCGAAAAAAAACTTCGAGGAGAAAATTCATCGTTATTCACGCCAATACCAGGCGGAGACATCAGCCCGCGCGTGAGATGACAACCAATTTAATTATAAATATAATAAAAAAAAATCTCCAACGGTCCCTTTCGGAGGACTTGCGATCTCCCTCTTCAGCTTGTTTATCGATTTTCATCCTTAACACAACAGCGATAGAGTTTGTATTGTATTTGATCACCAGCAAATACGGTGTTGTCCTGGCTTTCAATATATTGTAGATTCGATTGACGTCACCACAATGAGGGTGTCTATTTTATTTTTATTTAAATTCGGATCTTGCACGTCAAGACGAGGTGGAGTGCTCAATTACGTATGATGGCATCTGAAGCGTTGATTGCTATGACATGTAATTCGGTAATGGGATAAAGAGACATTTATTATTTACAGACTCATGGTACACGCGTATTAAAAATATTAAGGGTCACTTATTATAACGATTTGATAAACTCAAACAAAAGTGTAGCTTTACATAACAGTATTGCGGTTGATTATTCTAGAATATTCCAATAATATTGCATAATAATTTACTCTGTGCTCACCAATATCTTATCTCGCATAATAAACAAAAGAATTCAAACAATATATCAATTAGAGCCAAACAAAGTAAAGCCCGCAGCAACGATGGCAACCCATTCATTACATCAAGGCAACTAGCATCCGACTAAGGCGTGTTTAATAAACACCTCTAAGGAACTGTCGGTCAGTTAATAGCTCTCTAGGGTCAGCGGATCGCTGCGCACAATCGAATAATTAATTGCTGCTCGAATACGAGTACCCGAAGCGCTATTGTAAAGGTGCGGTTTTAGTGTAGAGAGTAGCGGACTACGGCTTCGGTACTGAGAATGTATTGCTACTTTAGCTGTGTACGAGGAGGAGGCACATGCAGTTTACCTCATACAGTTTTTTTCATAAAGGTGATCGCTACTAACAAAACATTGGTAAAAAAAATCCGTCGAAAAATCTGACGTATAATGTCTAAAACAACTATAGAAATTACTTGTTTTTTTTTTAAACAAAAAGATGGTCTAATGTTATGTTTAAATCGCTAATCGACGTCCAGCATGTGATGAGTCTAATGTCGGGTAGTCAATGCAGTTTCTCTCCATTACGCCGCCCACTTACAACGGAGGTGTGAACTGGGCATTCCATAGCTCGACCTTCTCTAATCTCAATAGTTACAATATTACTAACTCTGACTACACATCATAAATATTTACACTATCAAATTATTAAATAAGTTGTCAATATTTTTATGCTGGTTTCTGACACCAAAACCTCTGCATAAAACATATCGTCATCCCTATTATTATCTTTGATAAAATAGAGATAACAATTTTTTTTAAATGCAAATTTTAGTCTCAGAAGCCCGGATTAATCTTTTTATAATATTTTATATATTATTTTTCTATGTGCTTGTTGACGCAGGTATGGCGGGCGGCGGCATGGGCCAGATGGGCGGCTACTACGGCGCGGCGTACGGCCCGCTCGGAGCCAGCATGGCGGCTGCTGCTGCCGCTGCTCAGCAAAGCGCTATCTCTGCTGCACTCACGCCAAATGCACAGGTAACTTGGCAGAGAACCCATCGGCAGTTCCTCTAGTGTTGGATATCCATGGGTATCATTTAACAGTACGCGATCCGATGTTCGTTATGTTAGGAAGAAAATCCGACACTGTGCCGGTGTACTGGCACAACACTAGCCTTAAAATGTCGGCGTTTATGTCCCCTCACTAATCTTTCTGACAGTTGACTTTGGATTGTAAGCGCGCGATTCGCGCCAAATGATTGACATTAATAATGCCTAAAAGTTTGAATCTTAAAAAATAATAGAAGATGCATTATGGTTCCTGACTGTATGTCTATGAGTCTAGAGAAGAATACAAATCAAACGCAACCTCATGCTTCAAAATCCGTCAAGCCTGTATAGACTTCAAGATGGATCATACATACCAAGCAAAAAACATTACCTTCTTATCATTGGGGCAAAAACTGCTTCAGTAAAGTAAAAAAATGGCCAAAAGAAGCCGCCAATGCAAAGCGTTGATGAGATCTCGAATTAACCAGAACGTCAAGGGATGATGTAATTTGATCCGTGAAATAGTTAGCGCCTTGTATAACATAAAAAAGTTTGCCATCCAACATTTTTTAATGTCCTATATCAACCGTTGAGAACACAATGATCTGACACGTCCAAACTCTAGCGCCGTGGGCGTTAAAAAATTAACAGGCGAGTAATAAAACGGCAATGAGTTTACTCTTTCCATTAACAGCGAGGCCGGGATGAGTTAATAATATTTGAAGAGTTGTAATAATTTGCGGCTTTACGTTTAGTCAAGGATGATCTTTTACCATATGGTCTTAAAATACATACCAACTTTTTTATGACAAAAGACGATCGAGTTTTATAAAAAAAAAAAAGGATTAATAAGTTGTGTGAAATAGAATTTAAATCGTGTTATGTAATGATAGTAAGAAACAGATGGTGTGTAGATCAACAAGGGTGACTAACATGATCATTGCCCCTCGCGATCACCAATTATTTGGTGACTACCCACCGCCCTAAACAATATAGGGTTGGATGCTCGGAGATAACATTACGCCTGTGACCATCAACGTTGTCGTTTAAGGGATATTGTTACTTCCGTTTTTAATTATTGTTAAAGATGAGTAATACATCCAAGTCTCTTTGATTTTGAGTATGTCGGTGAATTTATTTTTTAATTTTAATGCAATTTACGAAGACAAGTAAAGTAGTTTATTTTCAAAACATTTTGGTTTCAAGTATCTTTTGGCTTGTAATAATTAAATTAAAAGTAACAGGACGTCTTTTTGTGATTAGTAAAATTAGAGAAAGTATTACCAAGCTTTATCTAAATGTAGTATTATAATTATTGGGTAGAGTAGATATTATTCACCGTTAACAAAATATTTACCATTCAATCAAATGAACTACACGTTTAGTAAATATTTGACAAATAATAATTAATGGCTACCCTACATTCTTCTTAAACAAGACGTTCTCTTAATCGTATGGAATTTAGTTTAAAATATAAATCTTACTGTGGTTTCTGAGACAAAAATCCTCGTTTAAAACATATTGTTATCTATTTTATCAAATGACAGGGATGATATGTTGTTATTGATGATGATGAGATTTAGATCTTAGAAACCCACGGTAAAATGGAATAGATTTTATGTTTTATCTACGTTTTTGAATATGGAGATTTTGTCATTTTCCATCATTTGTAATTGTTTGCAATTAATCAAGTGATAAACAAGTAAGTCATCGAAGTTACGATCGTATTGACTTACACTTAAATAAAAGTACTCGAAAAATAATTTGCCGATTTACAAATCCGGTTAATCCTGTAAAGCGGGTGCAACCCCAAATCGCGCAAACACCCTGTTTAACACATCTACGTCAGAGGCACGAGATTGAACGTCAAATAGAGGGCGAGGGAAGATCGAGGAGTTTTTAAATCCGAGGGAACTCCGGAGGGACGACGTTTAATTGTGCGAGTTTTTGTGTCAAGTAGTGTTTAATCGATTTGTTTCTGTTCTATGAAAGATGTGGCCTATTATTGACTTATATTAGTTAGTTTATGAATTTAATAATAATCAATAAAGTTTTGTTTTAAAATGGTTTTATTATGAAAGGTGTATTGAAAGATAGAAGCCTAAAATTATGTCTGCTAGAAAAATGGCTGCCGGAATGACTGTCTGTAGGTTTATAAGACCACAATTGTTTAAAACATATTGTTATCTCTATTTTGTCAAAGATAGTGACAGAGATGACGATATGTTTCATACAGAAATTTTGGTCTCTAAAACCAATGGTTTGCTCAAGTCTTTAAAAATTAATACTTTACATTAATGGATAAGAGGTAAACATATCCATCCATCCATCTTAACATTCGCATTTATAATATTAGGCTAGATTAGGTTATTTTCAAGATGTTGCTTTTATGAGTTACACTTTTAGAATGAATCCAACTTATTCTAAAATCAGTGTAATACGAGTACTTCCATGTCCGATGTATTACCGGCCCTACAGGGGGACTTCCACCGATACATCAGCGGTTGAATAGCGCCGACACTATCCGATGAAATCGCACATTTTTCGATTAACGCATCGAATCGCCCCCTAAACTCGATGCGAAACAATATAATCAGCTGCAATTGATCGCGCCGCGTTTACCTGATATTAAAAACGGTGACTGGCGCTTTGCTTGCAGGTAGCAAGTTTTTAACGAACCATTGTGATTTTCAGTATTCGATTATTTTGATCGATGACTTATATGGTGAGGTGTTTATTGGTCTTTCACGGTTCATTTGGCCAATAATTAAGCAACACTTTTCGATGCTAACTAAATTTTTGAACGCAGGACTTCGGATGGCGGTCAGATATCATTACTACAACGGTAAAGGAAATTGTAGGTTTATAAAATAATCTTGTGTCATACATAAGTATGTATGTAAATTTACGTAATTTCCACGTTACGTACGTCGTGGGAACTAAAAGAAACCCCATCTATATTACGTCTCCCTTATCACATTAAATTGCCATTCGATCAATTAATATGTGGACAAAAGACAAAATATATTAAATATAAAAGTGGCTATTGAATAAAATTAAAAAAGAATAGACAGCGCATAATTCAAATGCTTCATAATACACACGGTCAAAAAGAACATGAAACATTCCAACCGTTTATAACTCGAGGTGCAATAAACTGGTGTAAGGACTGCAGTAAAACCTCCAGTTGATGTCGCGACGTCGCACTAATCCTGATTTAGCGCGCGAGCCTCCGCCGGCCGTATGTTATGCGTTAACCATATACACACAGACAACAAGGATCTCGAACCTTTCCTATTAACATCCGATAAGACTCTATATTGAATTTGCAATAAGTTTACTTGGATATCGCAAATTAAAATTAATGCAAACATAAAATATCATTCTTCATATGATATTAATTAGGTAATTCTTAATTTCTAAACACGTTTCAACATGTAATTTGAACAAATACTATCATTAAAGATTTCATTTACCAGGAATTCATATAAAAATATTATAATAAATTATATTATCATGCTCATTTTCGTTATGTCAATCATATTTTTATCACGTCTTAAGTATCCTTAAAAATTAGCTAAAAAATGAGCAGCTGTAGAATTAGTCGGCAGTATGTCACATTCGATATTCATATTTTCCTCGCAATATTGTGTACGGCTCACTTCATTAAAAAATTTAAAACTCGAAGCATTATTGCGTGGCTTTGTTACGTTTGATTTGTGTGTCTGGCCGTGTAAAGTACAATACTACATTACGTTATTATATGCTCACTGCTTTATTCGATTTTAAGCCGTGTTACAATAGCATTAAGTGGCTTTTTGTGGTCATCGCGCGATCAAAAATTTGAATTGATTAAAATTTCAATGAATCGCGTTATTTGTAGACGAGATAGATTACAAAATATAATCGGCTTATGAAATTAATCCAACTGCTGAATATACAATATTTTGACCTGCGCCGACGATGCGGATATTTGATAATTACAAGATAATTATTTTAAAGCCTAACACATTAACTATAGCGTTAATTCAAATCATTATAAAACGTACGAGTATCTATGTATTATAAGGTTCAAGGTTCATTTAGACAAATGTAGGAATTCTACGAACAACGCTCGGCAAACGCTTCAGAACAAGACAAACGTATTATGTTCCTATTTGTTTATTTCTAAATGAACCTTTAGGCTTCTATTACGTCTCCTAGGTTATTCATTAGCAAATCTTCCTAATTACAATTAGGTACTTTAAGTTTCCAAAACTATTCACGTGTATCTTATTCTTCTCTCATTGTTCCAGATGGGGTCAACAATGGATATGTCCAAATATTCAATAGAGGACAAATACCGTTACGGTATGTACACTGATCCTTCCCGAAGCTACTTGGATTCCGCTGCTCTATCAAAAGCTTACATGTACATGGACCAGCAGCAACAACGCTCATATCCAATGGACATCAGCAAGATGTATTCAGAAGCATCCGCTGCAGCTATGGCAGGGTTGAGCTCCGCCGTTAATTCATCATCCAGTTTATCGCCCAGATCTCCCGCGGAGTCCCCTGATATGACTCCAAAGACATTACAAGAGAGAGCCGAAGGCAGTTCCTCATCCGGTTCGAATCCTTCCCCTTCTCTGTCGTATTATCAAACATCATCCAGTCTTTTATTGCCCCAGTACCCGGGGCAATACGCGCAACCAACTCAAGCCGGGTCAGAATTCCGGAGGCCGTTGACTGTTATATTTTGACCTGAAGTGTAAATAATTTTGGAAGTTTAACAATTTATTGAGAAACGTCTATATTATTTAATGGATGATTGGAATCGAAGTTTTTGTTTCGATTTTATAGTTCTTGATAATGTGTTTATCAGTACTGGAGTTTTATTTGTATTTAATATTAAAATTTTGAATTTCAAAGTTCCTCTTTCCCCTTTTTAAATGTGTAATTATTTTTATTGTTTTTAATTTAACGTTAGACACGCTGTTATTTGTACATATATGTAATAAAACAGCGTTAACTTAATCAAAAGCTTATTTAAACCAGGTCAATACTAGGCCCAATATAACAATTTAATTTCCTATTTGTTTTTTGGAAAACCTGACTAACCGTGGGTTTCGGAGACCGAGATCCCTGTTTAAAACTGTTTTGTTAATAATAACAGGGACTACAATATGCTTTATACAGAGATTTTGGTTTCAGAAACCGAACGAATATTTTAGCATCTATTATTGATTTAAAAACAATTGCATTAATTTTAATACAAGTTTTTTTTCTTGTGATTAAATGATTCCTTCATGATTTAATTGACCGCAAATTTCTGTAAATAATATTTAATGTAGAAAAAAATATTTAATTCTTACGGCTAATAAATTAAGAATAATTTTAAATAATGTCCAAGTTAACACAACGACATATTAATAAATAATTTTGTAAATATAATTTAAGGCGAACATTCAAATAGTACTTTTAATTCTTAGCAAATATATTTAAAATTGTTATGTTTTAACATGGGCCTTCTATACGAACTTTTACATGCAAATGACATTATTCTGTTTCGTGTAAACAATATTATAAGTATGATTTTTTTTTATAAAAATGGGCCGTGTTTGTGACGTAATGCATTTATTTGTTGCCATAAAAATGTTTTTAAATAAAAAATAATATTTTATGGACTCATATGATTATTTATTTTATTTTTTCGTATTCTTGACATTTGTATTTTATGTTAATTAACAAAATATAAAACAATTAAATTTTTTAATAATGAATTTTTAAAAATTATTTTCAAAAATAAATAATCGATGTGCATTTTTGTTAATAATTAATTAATTTCTTATTCATTTCGAATAAAAATATGTGTAATAATGTGCTCAAATTAATTTAATATTATTTTTATTAATTACAATTCCGAAATTCGGAATTCATTTTTTTCTGTGTACATAGAATGAAAATGTTTTTTTTTTTGTTTCTGTTAACCAGTGAACATTTGTTTTTTTTTAATAATATTATAAGTGTTCTATGTAAATTATAAGAGAATAATATAGATAATTTAATTGTAAAATGACGTCGATTGTACGATGAGACAATTTAAATATTATTAAAAATATTACAAGATAAATAAATTAAAACGTTGAAAATTCCACTTTGTCGTTTTTATTATTTCTTTCATTAATCTTACTTATATTATAAATGAACAGAACATAAACTTGAAGAACACATAGGCTACTAATTATGTTTTTTTTTTATACCTCGCGGATAGAGTCGTGGGCGACAGCCAGTACTTAATATTGACAATTTTTTTACAAGTGTTCCGAAAGCGGGAACACAAATACCTTATGCTTTTAATATCATGTCGGTTGTAAAGGGTGCTTTTTTCGCTGTAGTGGAGGTGGTTGCGGAGGTGTAACTCGCCTCGGCGGATGCGGAGGTTAATTAAAGCGATGGCGAAAATTAAAAAGAAAACCTAAGAATAGAAAAGGATATGTTTTTTATAAGAGAAATTCTAAAAAATAAGGCTGTGGAACTATTCATATGGAAGTTCCGCTCTTGCGGAGGCGAAGTTCATTTTTAGCACTAAAGCATAACTTTTAGATGCAAATGATTTACATCCAAAATATGATATTAAATCTTTCACCAGATACTAAAAGCTGGAAGAAAATATCTTAGCTAATAACACTCGCCAGCGCTTTCATGATTTTGCTACAGCGTTGTGTAATAAAATTACATAAGGATATTATATAATATTAATAACACATCAAACGTAAATATCAAATTTAACAACAACTTTTAAATATAATTGGTTTCTTTTATTTTCATTTAAATAGATATTTTATTTATTTACCTTGCGAGGGCTGATATATATCAGAGTGTTATTCATAGAGATAAAAGACTATTTAGTTTAAAATAAGCAAAACACGCAAATATATTCCGCTAAATCAACATATCATACGCACTCATACTTGCAATGAATTTATAATGACATTATAAATGTTCATTCCGCTTTTTAAATCGCTTAAAATAATAAAAAAAACACCCTTTATCAAAATAACCAAGAAAATGTAAAGCTATTAATCACAACAATAACCTCTTTTCCAATGCAATAAATAACATTTTTGTCTGACAAAGACATATTGGTCTACATATAATACGTGTCCATTTTTAACGCTTGAATGCTCCCCTATGTTTTTTAATAAAATATGCGCACTCGATAGATATCACCGCGACGGCGACGGCGTGGGCTGGGGGTAGTGATTTGGCATAAAGTAAACAACTGGCCTGTCTTTTGTGCGGCAAAATACGCTGAAATAACACAAACAATCGCGAACCCTCTTGTGAACGATAGGTGATAATGTACAGGGTGTTTCAATAATGATAGACGATGTCCGGAATTATTGACCGATTACACATAACTTATTATTTGTTTCTAATACAACAAATTTTTATTTCCTTTTCTGCTCAAGGCTTTTTAAAGGGTACTTTACATTTAGTATCGATTCGAACATACCTAACTAAAGTAGGCATTTCGAACTGAAACGTATAAATGTAACCAAATTTGATTTGTCAAATTTGGTGCAATAAGCAGAGCTGATCATTTTAATAATTTTGCCATCTAAATCTCGCTGTAAATCAACTTTTACAACATCCTGTAGTCAACAAGTAAGCACCTACTCCCCCATAGCTAAGCATTATTATGACAAAACGAGAGAAAATAAATAATGAATGGCGTCGGATGCAGCGACTCAATTGTTTTCATTTCAAACAAAATCAACACTAATAAATACAAAGCACCTCTGCCTCTGAAACGTGGCAGCTACAATAATGTAATTACATTTTTTAATTTAGTCACGAAAAACTAACTTCTAACCTAGTCACTAAAAAACTAACCTAGTCACTAAAAAACTAACTTCTAAGATAGATGTTTTTTGTTTTTCAATTCAAAGAAAAAATGTAATTTTAAAAAACTCGTGTATAAATATCATAAAGAAACAATTGAAGTTTAGAGACTAGCGCTCGCCCTCGACTTCGTCAACGCAGAATTTAAAAAAGTAGCCTACATGCCGACGTGTATTAGCAAACTTCTAGTCAAAGACCCGTCATAATCTGTCCTGTCCGGAGATTACCCAAAACAAACGCACACATGGAGAAAGACAGACAAAAAATTCAAAAATTGGTTCAGACACGCCAATTTTATTTATATGTACACGAGTATTAATAACATGTTGTCATCTCTGTTTTGTTAATAGGTATGATAGGGATGGCTATATTTTAGTTCTACATTTGTGTCACGACATTGGAGATTCACCGTTAGATTACGTGTTTAGAAAGCTTCAATTGTTTTAATGAATGTTCTAACTTAGTTATTAAATCGACACTATTTGTTTGCTATAACATACAATTACGTATGATTGTCGAAGTGGTGTAAGACAAATTATACCCTGGCTGTTATTATCAGTCCATTTTATGGTAACATTTTGGTGTGCATAATCTTTGCATATTTTTTATTGTAAATTAAAAAGTTCACAGGTAGCATAAGAAGTTGGAATTAAAAAAAAACAATTTGATATGTCATCCAAATAAAAGCTAAAAGCGAAACACACTAAAGTTCCCTTAAATGGCGATTAAAATAAATATAAATAAATACCGCTTGACCCGCACGTGCAAAAGTCAATTTGTCTGACAATAGTTTGACCGCCGCCTACACCTTTTGTCTGTATCCAACTTGACAGTTCTCAAGTGTCACCGACCTGTCAACTGTCAAACGACACGTGTCGGCGCGTGCAATTTAAACTGTTATCACGGGATTTGACAGGAGTCTGTCAAAAGTGTGACTCTACAATTGCAAGCTCTATTGAGTCTTTGTGTCAAGGAAATTAATTATAATTCTTGATCAAATTAACAATGAATATTATCCAAAATTGTGAAGAGAGTTTACATCTCTCTCCGGAGATTCTTTCGGTTAAATATTGTATATTTTAAAATTTGTCTATATCCATTATTGTGACCAAATCATGAATATATATTAAAACTAGCTTAAATTAAAACTAGACTATGTCAACATGTTCAACAGTGGTAGAGCCCGCTTTAACATCTTCGCACGAATCGGCCCGGCTCGCCCGGTGAAATACCACGACCACACTGAAGACAGGCGTGAAGTGGAAGCAATTCCGAGTGCAGTCTGATGAGTGTGCGTTCCTGAGGCCTCATTTAGTCCCTTCCCTTCCCACCCCTTTTCTAATAAGGAAAGAATGAGAAGTGGAAGTGGACTTACCGGATGAAAGGATGCATGCAAAAGGGAATATATTTTCTTTCTGTGTATCCTCTCCTCCGTCGATTAAAGTTAGGCAACGCATATGCAATTGCGTATGTCTATGGGCAACGATCACTTCGCTATATTAGCGATTTCAGGTGGCCGCTCGCTCGTTTGTCACCTTCTGATATAAAAAAAAAATGTTCTATATCTGTTCAAATTTCATCCAGATCCGTTGAGCCGCTCCCGTGATACCTCCAAACAAACATCCATCCATGTATCTAAACTTTCGCATTTATAATATTAGTAAGCTGTAAGTCAATGTGATAAAAACGGCACAATAGTTTACATTAATCCTAACTTACAATACTTATGCAAGTACGCTTACATCCAATAATATTATTGCATAAATACATAACAAGGTAATATACATAATTTAGTTAGGTAATTAGTTACGAGTAAACTAACCTTCCAGTTGACAAGCTATAGGATATTACGACTTCTCTCCTCATTTGTAAGAAGCTGTAGAGTTTACCTTGAGAACTACTGCATTACGCGATAATATTGAATATAAGACTTCGAAAGAGAATTTTACTTAGTAAATATTTTTATCTAAGGAAATTAATTAATCGCGTATTTTATTTTTAATCTGCTTTGAAAAATGAAAGTGATTGTATTGTTTAAGGGCAATCGATCTATTTTCCATCCAATCTTATTAATATTATAAATGCGAATGTTTAGATGGATGGATGTTTGTTTTAAGGTATCTCCGGCTGAACGGATCTCGCTGAAATTTTGCATAAATGTAGAATATAATCTGGAAGAACACATAGGCTATTTATTTAGTTTTATTTTAATTTCGCGTGG